GGCACATTTCCCGTATCAGACGGCTTAACTTCAATGGTTAGCAAGGGCAACGGCCGCTCCCATCTCTGCACACGAAGAGACCATCAGGATTCGCGGTCTCTCTTCAGACTAGCATTAAATTTTGCCTCCAGGTCTTTTGTAGTCTCGTTGTGTTCGCTTCCAACCAGAATGTTACTGCGACGGTCGATCAGTTCCAAGGACTGCGAATTGACCCAATGTCCAAGTTGGCTATTGGATCTACCAGGTGATGATTTACCTGCTAGTAATTACTTCTGGTGAACATGCGACTAGTGAGCTTCAACTGTATTCATTGGGAGCTTACTCAACCTGAATGCCAGCGTACTTCGCTACACCTACGGAACACCCGAGTTCGCCAGTTTTCCGGTGTCTCTGCGCTCATAGTGTCATCGTGGGCCTCTGTCAAAACGCGCCCTCCCTTTTGTACATACAAGTGCATGGTCAGTGTTCACACATGCTCCAAATCGAGCGACATTTTTGAAGCCGGCCTCTCCAGCGATAACTGATCGAGATGTGATTTGCGTCCATTGCTGGTTCGAGGCTGGTGGGCGTCGTGTCACCTGACGTGTGCTGTGTCTGCAATTAATACCCGCAAGAAATAAGTGACCTTTTTCACATAAATGAAGTAGTCGCTCACTGTTGTCATTACGGGAGCGTACACCATGTTGGTCGCCCAGATGCTGTTATGTTAGAACAATCCTAATTAACCCAACCACCATGATTATCGACCAACCGCTATCGAGCACTATATTGAACACTCCAACATAGCCAGAGCAGCGTTCGCATTTAGCCTCATGGACTGACTCAGTACGGTTGTCCAACTTCAGGCCTGTAGCCCAGCTTGGTCAATACATAGATTCTGGAAATGTGCCCATTCTTTTAACACCGGGTTGCAACAGATACACTTCATCATTGGACAACTTCCTAACTTCAGATCCCGGCCCGAACTAGTGTCAGTGTTTCTTCTGTGGCGAAGGTCGTTCAGTTGACGATAGAAGTCGGCTTTTACAGCGTGATCGCTATAGTTTGTTGGGTCGAATAGCCGATATGACAACCAGACAGCTATTATCCTCGCGCGACTTCGATGATTTGAACGAGCCAGCCAGTCGGGCTGCAAACACATGGCTACTGATTGGGATCCAATCGACCAGAGCAGATTCAGCCCGGGGACTCAGGGCAATACTAATACCGTCTTGGCGGTACTCTAAGTTGCATCGTCTCAGGATAGGCGCAATGAGAAAGCACTGCTAGTGTCACCTGAAGGGTATCCCAGAGTGAGAGCACTGCTCAGGTCTTGTTGACGGTTTCTTGATAGGCAGCAGATATTGTTTGGGAGGGTCTCTAAAGTTCGGGTAAGTGTTGCTTGTTGACCGATCTGTAACAATGTGCGTACGTTGAGGCATGCCAACCTGAAGAAGGAACAGTGACTCCAAATAGAAGCCGATGAACTAGGCTTGACCGCTTGGTTAGACATGGGCTTATCGAGAGAGCAGGAGTGATGCTCCGCGTTTGCATATGATTTTAAACTAGGAGATGTGCACCTATCGAACATGGTGGGGGATGACCAAGAATTTGGGGGTTGGAAACGGGGGGATAAAAGCGAAGTTGGAACGGGACGATAAGTTGCAAGAGGGGGAATACGAAGACGGGAAGGCTTGGGCAGTAGCATCTTATCCCCTATCCACCCTGCTCGACCCAGCAGATATAGCACCGTTGATTATCCTCTGTGGTAGCCAGAGCATCTGAAAATAATTTGCTTTGAGACCCTCACCCTCAATTGTCGTTCTTTCGTGCTCACATATTCGATCTTGCAAATACATGTAAATCGCTATAGGATGTGTGGACGGCTGGACAGGCACAACGGAAGTTTAAGCAACGGATTAGGGATGCACTTCGTTGTGTAGATTAGTACTGATTCCACCGAAGGGTATACGCGCGCCACTGCAGATTTCAATCGACTTCGGAATACCTGACACGCGTCGTCTTCCTTGAATGGCAGTTGCAGGATTGCTTTTCTCTGCCGTACCATAGGCAAACTTTCTTCCGCCTTCTCAGCACTAAACTGAGCGATGAGGGACGTTTGGTACCGATTATCTACAATTGTCTGAGTTATCCACCACAACTCTTACTCCCGTTTGTCAGCAGTGCATATTTTCCTAGCCGTGTTAGACAGAGCCTTCACTAAACCTTGTACCGCTTAGGGACCAAGCTGTAGATGTTCATCTACTGTCCGTTCCACGTTGACTTGCGATAAACTGATCTGCGTATTGTACCGTCACTACTACGCTGTAGTAAGAAGTCAAGGAACGACAGCGAGTCGTATTGTCTGCGTTCTGTTGTCACTTTGATGTTTGGATGTAGGTCATTCCACTTGGTAACCAGTTGGGTTAACTGGTCTTCGCTGTCACAGCTTAACATAATATCGTCCACATATTTACGGAACAACACTGTTTTATTGATCTCTTCCCCGGCTTGTTTATGAGGTGCACAGTCAAATCCTCTTTCTAAATCCAAAATCCCAGCGTTGTCGCATCATCTTTTATCTGTTATCCTACACCTTCGACTTCCGTTGCGTTTCTCTGTAACATTTGACCGCAAGGAACTGTTCTGGTCACCGAAACCTTCACTTATTTTTCTAACATGAAAAAAATTGGTTCGATCCGGTTGTTACGTGCCACCTCCTTTAATTAGGCCGTTTGAATTGTGCTCGTACATTCGGTCTCCCGTGTGTATCTGTTCATTTTCCCCATTTTTTCCGAATTTACATTCTTGCTTGTGTTCTGTCCCGCCTTCCCAACTAGTTTATTATTCTTGTCATGGTGACGCGCGAATCGGGATAGCTCGATCCACCGCTCTTATGTTCTCATAGTCATCTAACTGGAACGAAGTAACTACGATAGTTTGAGCCACCATAATTTATTTGCGGCGCTTTTGAAATCAGGAGAATTTTCCCTCGGTCTCGTATGTGCGGTTCAACACCAAAGGCTGTTTTCTTTTGCTTTCGCTACACTTGACATCCTCGACCAGAGGATATATGACACTTCGACGTTTTTTGGTTATCTTTATCAACGGAGCATTGCCTGTGTCGAATGTCGCGAACCTGTCCACAGCGATAAAATGAGCATGTGGCTATTAAGTGGTGATTATCCTTTTTATCGGCAAATAATCTTGGATAGCCTTCGTTGTTTTGGGCACTCGCTACATATGCTCGCTTGCCGGGGCGGATTTTATTTTATTATCCTGAACTCAGTATCGTGTGCCGTTCGAGAAGGCCAGTCGTTGACCTGATGACTAGAATTAAACTCGTTGATTGTTAGACCCGGTGTTGTCCCTCCGTCTCTCTTGACATGTCTTCAATCCGGCTTGCTCTTGGCTCATCATCATCATTATATCATTATGCACGTTAGCTAAAGGTGGGAAATACCGCAGCTACTGTGCCGCAATACATAGGAGAAAAAAAGGAGAACAAAAGCAACTGGTGCAAGCCAGCTGAGCTACCGCTAACGGATGGGCATCATTCCGATAAGCTACCAGCCGGCTACTGTGCATCAAAAAAATTACTATGCAAAATTATATAATGCTAAATAGTGAGATCGTGGTTGGAGGGACAGGCTAAAAGGGATGAAGTGGGACAAAGCAACTCATTGCACGAACGCCACTGAGGTCGGCTCCTAGCCATATCAGCAAGTGTATCCAGCCAAAGGTGTTCATCGTTTTTCGAACCCCAACCAGAGAGCTGGGACGCCCCAACCGAGGCCAGCTCCGAAGTGAGGGTGTTAGGATGGAAGACGAGATGCGAACAAGCCAGGACCCCATCGCGGCCGCAGGCGATCCATACTTACCCGCCCTGATTGGGGCGAACAGAGAGCCAACCGGGAGAAGCGGCCAATTAACGCGAGCGTGGCGTTCCTTTATTGGCTGTAAGTTGACCCTTCCAGAGATTTCCACATTCGCTTTAAATACCATTCACGAACTTTCCATTTCACCTTTATAGTGAACGGTGTGATTTGCTAATACATCCCTGTTGCCCTGCTCGTCCGATCCGGTCTTCTCTCTGTCCTATGGGGGGCAGCGACTTCGGGTTTGATTGGAAATCAAGCGTCCATTCAGGCGGGGGACGAACACTTCAGAGGGCCTTCATTCATCTGGACTAAGTCATCGCTTGGCTACTGCTCCTCTTCTTCCATCCACACCCCCGGCGCACAAACAACCTACGTCGCAGGAGTCGGTGGGCTGGCATGCGTAACACATGGCCGAGCCATCGGAGCCTGGTGTGTTAGACGACGGTACTGAGCGGTTCATTTCCTTTTCCTGTGCAGTGAACAAGGCGTCGAACACGCTCTTTGCTCACGCGGTGTTCCCACCAGATGTGAGCTAAATTGTGAAGTCACCGGTGGTCGAACCTAACTAGCCTCTTCAAATCCGCTGCTCTAAGGGGCCAGGTTTCAAAACCGTACAGTGCGGTCAAACTACCGTTGCATTGTACACTCTACCCTTCATGGCGAGAGTGCTGTCGCGCCGACGCCATATATGGCGAAGAGTAGCAAAAGCGCCTCGAGCTTTTGCCCTTGACTGATCATATTGCATCTGAGGCACACAGCCTGCACCAGTTGCATACTCATTTTCGTCTATTTGACCAACTGTTGGTTTCACGATATGCGCGCCGCAGACATACTTGTGGAACAAAACGGCTGCTCGTGTTCATCATTCATATTTTCTCTCTCCTTTATCACATTGTCCTGAGCACATGGTTTCGAGTCGCTACTCTCTCCCGCTCTTCACTCAGTAACTCCTCTGTGCCCTGACTTCCAACGGACGCTCCCTCGTAGTAATCCCAACTACCACACACCTTTGCCCCAGCACACTGCTAAATCAGACGGAACATTGTCTATTCGATTCACATTTTCCGCATCACCACTCATTTCTTTTCCATCGTCTGGGGTTCGTGTCTTTCTCATAGGGTTTTCCAAATTATGTTTCAGCATACTAATATGGCAGCTCGTCTCGCTGCCGGCTCCGTGATTCAAGCCGTGGAGTCTGTGCATCGTGGGGATGTACGCAATGCTTTCTGCCTAATCCGGTGAGTTCCATTTGGCCATCGCTTTGTTCTTCTGCATTGAGAAAATTATTGCTTTTATGGTCGAAATTCCATCTTTTATGATCTTCCGGGGGCTTAACAATAACCGGCTTTTATTTTTGATCGATAACACTTCGCATTTGACACACAAGTCTCATCATGTCAGGCACTACGCATCGAATATACTATCTTTGGTTGGTTCCAAAGCGTATTCGCACTTCCCTCTTCAGAATTGTACCATTATCGGCTTCGTGTGCATGAAAGCAGTATAACCGCCATTGCAACATATCATCGGGATGCATCGTCTCATTGCACTCCACTTTCGGTTTCTTCCCCTATGCTGGTAACTGTCAGTTCGGGTTAACTTAGCCTGTGCGTTAGCAGTGGACAGGAAGGCAATCAAGCGTCATCCGCATGCACTGGCCACGATCGGTCGGACGGAGAAACAGAATTGTTTTACCGTCGCACGAACGAAACGCAGCTATCAAATTTAAGCTTTGGCATACTCTCTTTGTGGTTGGATTTCGGCACACGATCTCTTTTGAGATCTCAGTTTACTTTGAGATAGACTCTGGTCATTCCGATCACTAGAGCTTTATCCGAAGTGAATGGGTTTCGGTGTTGCTTGCCCTGAGATGAAGAGCTGGGGGGGGGGGGGTGTGGAGCGAGCAACACTGAAGTGCAGGTTTCTTTAGAGACAAGGGTAGCGAATTGACCCAGGCAACAGCGAGCGAATAGCACACACGCCGCAGCGAATCCAAGCTGATACCGCGGGGTGCAGTGAAGGCTGGTCGACTGAGGCAATGGAGCCGACGCAAGTCGAGTGTGCAGTAAGCGAGTCAGCTGTGCTCCACCGCAATTGTATTAGTCAAGCAGGCAACACTGGATTGGCTTGGCACGAGCCAAAGTGCAGGGGAACCAAACAAGACTGGTGTTGTTTCGTATTGAACACAGCGGAAGGACGCGTGTGCGGGATAACGGACTTCACCTGACGGCTCACGACGCGGCATCGCGAACTGGTCGGTGAGATGCTGCTGTAGGGGAACAGCGCTTTAACTTTATGTATGGTATAAACCATCCTGCATTTTGTAACTAACGGATTGTCATCACTACTTGAACTTTCAGGGCCCCGTGACATTCTCTAAATTTCATCGGTTTATTTTTTTACTGCTTTCCAGCCCTTCTTCGATAATTCGTTATGAGTAAAACTAGTGGTAATTAGACCATTGACCTCTAAGCCATTTTTCTTCCATCTATGTGACACGCTACTCGTGTTTTTTGACCACATATGACATGTTGCCTAACCGTCACCATTGCAATCCACACCGTTACATCTGCATCGAACTTTATGTTTGAGATGCGCCTACTGATTAGCTATTTATGGAACGTACAGTTTACGAACAAGGAAGTGCGGACCTTTCCACTGATTTATTCTCAACATTTCTTACCTACATATTACTGCTAAAGAGTATGCGGTCTGTCTCTTATCGATCGCTAGCTGCTTCATTCATCATCACCATTCTTTGGTTTCGACTTTCACACTTTCCTGCGTCTTGCTTTTATACCACTTTCACTTTAAGCTAGGCACTTCCATTCCTAACCGGACGCTTTTCAAATCAAACTGGATGATCTTCAGGTCAATTAGGACGCTGTTCAATTCATATTGGATAAGGTTTGTATTTACTAGGAAGCAGGTTACGTTACTTACAAGCATTTGCTGAAGAGCTGTCTCACTGTTGCTGTCGTCAAGTTCACCATCATTTTGAGGATCTTGTTCTCGGAGTTCTGCTACTGTACCATACCGACGCTCTCTGAAATGACCGGACTTAGCATCTAAGCGCGTCGGATTAGTTGACATGTTCCTAGCCGATACCCTCACCTTCGATAATACCTTTTTTGCTTAATTTAGTTTGTAGGAGTTAGATGACAAAAATTCAGCTGATTGGACGAGCCCACGCTCCTTCTTAGATTGTCCAGTATGTGGATTCGGGGTTGTTCAGGATCAGGCATTCATTGTTGATCTCCAGTTTCAGACCGGTACGCGCCACAAGCTCTTTGACGAATGTGAACGGTTTCGCGAAGTTGCAGGTACTGTCCTTGATGGTTTTGAGTGAACAGTTAGCCCCATCATGTGGCTTGTAACTCCAGATAAAATGTTTGCGTGCGCCCCCCTTTTTGAGTTATCTTGCTTCCGTCGCAGTTGAGGGTTGAAGCCACTCTTATTGATGAAGATGCACTTCATTTTATCTTTTAATGCGTGTACCGAGAAGTCCCGAGCATAGGTCTGCGATTTTTCAATGTCGACGCGGTCGACCTCTTACTGGTGCTTTCTAATCGAGATGATAGACGCTCACGACCATGGCAGGAGGAGGGTTTGCGCTAGCGTCTTCTGCTTCACTGTCCGAGTTGCACTGGCTTGCTTGTAACATGATCTGCAAATCCTCTAATTTGAAAAACCTCCAGTTTTGTTTGAAAAACATCCGGTTTAGATTTGAGCAATGTCTGGTTTGGAAAAACGGTGAATTTGATTTGTAGAACCTCCGATTTAAGGTGTAAATGTTGCATATAGTGGTTTTCAAGAGCTTGACACTTTACCATGCGCTTTGCTTTGTTTCCCCTCTTCTGGGTCAGCGATGGTCGTCGGTAGTCAATCCGTTAGTCCAATTCGTAACAATGCGGTACTTGAGCCGTTGCTCTGTTTTTGTGGGTCATCTTTTCAAATGATAAAATGTGGTGCAAATACACATTTTCGATGCATTTGTACTTGCGGACACCATTCGCCTCACAGTTTACACTACCATCTACCCAAAAGCCAGATGTTGTTGCTCAGCAAACGTGCGTCAATATGATTTCGGGTGCACGATTTCAAACACAACAGCTCATTGTTAACGAGACAGGCAGCCCTTTCCTAGCAGCCAGGAACAATTGACCATGACGCAGGCCGAAGATTATTGGCCAACCAATGAGAGCGGGTTAAGGATGACGCTTCACCTTGAACGCTACCAATGGTGATGGTCTACCTTGAGGTCCGCCAGTGAGCGCTGGGCCATTCCCTTATAAACTATTGTTTCGACCCCATTATTTGATATTTTTACACTGCTTGCCGGGTGCTCAATACAGTTTCCGCCTGAGCGCTTTTTCTTCTAATCTGGAAAGTCGGCCGGTCAGCTTGCGCGGTAGCAGCAGGTCATCCGTACAATCAGCGGAAATCACAACACCCATACCTTCAATTTGCTGGTGCTTACCTCTGGAGCCGGGATTTTCAACTTTTTTGTGATTGTTACCCACAAAGCGGGTTCACTGTAAGCAATTGCCCAACAAATTAGTTTAGGAAGCAAATTGCCTTTTAACTATAGCATTCCTTGCTTTAAAGTACGGGAAATAAATACTCCTAAATTACTCTCGATCATTCAGATGAAGAAAACATCTATTTTTGCGGAATTCTTTATTAAATCAAATGTTGATTTGCGTTAATGCGACGGTTGGTGCGGGTTCGGCTAATGCACATTTGCTTCCTTGCTATGGTGTGTGATCACCGATCATACTTAAACAAATGTCAGTGGCTTCTCATTCCTCTCAACCATCCCTTCCAGGTCTTTTCTAGATGACAGATTCCCACCACCAATCTATATCAATACGTCCTGAACACTAACCACCAGTTGTGTCCCTTCTACCTTGTAAACATTCGGTCGCTCCTTTGCTAGGTCGGCTGACCTATGCCTCCACCTTAGTGTTCTCTTAACTCTATACTTCTACTCAAACGAGTGAGGCGATAGAGATGCCATCTAGCTGCGTTGCTCTGCAGGCTTGTATACATATTTTAGGCAATATAATTTATTACCGAATGTTTGATTCACTGATCACTCACTAATGCTTAGTCACTGATAGCTAATCAATAATGATTAGTTAGTTAGATGTTTTGATGCAGCTGATTTTTTCGTTTGTTTTATTCGGTGACAGACTGATGATCCAATCCTCGTCTTTATATTTACCCCTCGTAAAATTCACTTTTACCCCCTTCAGCGTACCTTCCTCCAGGTTGAGAACCACTGCTCTGGAGTGATATTTGATCACAATTAAGTGCATCTAGTTTGACTGGCGAAGCTGGTTTCCTACTATTACCCTACCTGGTGCACTAGATCGGCGCATTTGAACTGGCGGTTGGAATAAACCCGTGGAAATGTCAACATTTCCCATTCTAAGCATTTTGTTCGTTCACACCATACTTCAATGGTGTTAGATCTTCACCTTTTCTCGCTATTCCGAATTAAATACCCAAAAGTTTCTCCGCAAAAATTCTAGCCCAGCGGAAGAAAAATCAAAAGTCCAACGAACTTGACTGCAAAAATGTGTTAACAAAAACGCTGCCAAAGTAGCCAGAAACGCCGCAGACGCTATCACTACGCCAGGCCTACGCCAAATATATAGGGGGCTCAAGGACCTTCGGCTTCTAGAAAACGAAGGTCAACTGGTAAAATTAGCAGCCTTCCTGACGAAAGTCCGTATGCTGGCGATCACGTGAAGGAATGGAAGGTTCCGGAATCTTCAAAATCAATGCACGATCGAAGATAATCGATTAATTGCTACAATAATGGGTTTTCCTTTATGTTTTTGCCTTTTCCCGGGTACCTTCCCTCCTGAAACGGCTGCTGCGATGTATGATGCTAACCTGGGATTGATCTGAAACCTCCTGGAAGTGGGTTTTACGCCTATCGATCCATCGCTTCGCCTATAGTGTTCTGGATTCAAGTTCCGTCTTCATCATTGTCTCTTCTGGTGATATTCCAACCGGCGTTTGTGGATTTTGTTTAGATCGGTACAGAAAAAGGACGCGGCCGATCACGTTCTCCATATCTCCTTCCTTGGTTTGAGGAGAGCGCGTTTGAATGTATCCACAAATCTCTCCGTCTGACCGTTCGATTGTGGCTGGAATTATGGAGACCGCACGTGTTTGATGACGCAGTGTTTGCAGAACTCCGTGAATGTGGCCGAAGTAAACTATG